GTCATGATCTCGCAGTGCATGAGTTTGAGCCCTGCGTCTGGCTCTGTGCTGACAGCTCAGAGCCTGGAGCCTGCTTCCGATTCTGTGTCTCCCTCTCTCCCCACCCCTCCCCAGCTCAGACTCTGTCTCTCTTGCTCTCTCAAAAATAAAAAAAAATTAAAAAATTTTTAATGTTTTTAAATAAGTACTTATCAGAATATTTTTAATTTAATAATGCTTTAATGTTAATTTTTAAAAAAAATAAGTAGCCTTAGGAATATAAAAAATCCTTTGGAACATTTAACCTTTTTAGGTACCACTATATATATTTCCGCTGTCTTAGGAGCAGTGTAAAAGACTGTATGCTTCATCAGCAGCATAAAGGTTTGCCCACTGCAGCTCCTAGGCAGTTAAACAAACACAATGCGGGTGCATACCTGGGTATCTGAAAACACACTTTTCGTAGGAAACGTGGCTTAGATAAATTATATCCACATGTCATTTTTCAAAGCCCTATTTTATCCTCACATTTACCAAATCGTTTGCTACTATATTAGCGAAAAAAGCAGTCTCTATTCAGTCTTTAAAGAGTGAGGGTAGACAGGGCCAAGGTGTACAGAACATCATGGTAGAGCAACAAGAGTCCCAAATGAGCACAAAGAAGCTGTAGTTAGCTCTTTGAATATCCGAGAGCTGACACATTAGAGATTCAAGCCTGTAATTTTCAGCTGCCAAAAAACAGGTCTTTGAAGGTAACAGGTAGCAAAAAGAAAATGAAGTGCTGAACAATGCTCTCACATCAGTTTCTGTTTAGAGATTTTTACCCCCCCCCCCATCCTATATATGTTTCATTTAGGCTCCTAATTATTAAATGCTAGTGACCGTCCATGGCAGAGCAAAATACAAATCAACAGTTAATCACATGTCAAAAGAGCAGCAAATTCTTTGAAATCGTTCTTGAAGAAGCTCCAGCTGTCCAATTAAAGGGAAGTTGTTTGTGTGTGTGTGTGTGTGTGTGTGTTTTAAGAAGGAGGAGGAGGAAGTGGAGCAAGAGGGAGCGGAGAAGAAAAAGAACAACGCAGAGGAAAAGCCCTTTTGTTAAAGATCAAGGAGCCAACTCAAGTTTAAAATTAAGTTCCATGTACATTGGTTTTCAGAGGCACCCATTTTGGCATGTTCCAAATCACATGCCATCTCTGGCTGAGAACATGAAGGCAAAGTAGGCCGAGCCCAGGCAGGTTAGCAAACAAACGCAAGCCAAGCACACTCAGGAGACTTATCTAGTATTTGCCTACAGAATGCAATTGGCTCAGGTCTACACTAAAAAATTGCTTTCCAGGAACACAGTTCAAAGATTGAGTTTCCTCTTGCTATCCATTCACAATAAAATACTTGTAGGGATTTGACATACTTTTGACACAATTATATCAGTTGCAACACACATAATGTCCATTCAATTTTACAAAGTTCATTTTAATCAAAGATATACATTTTTTTCTGGTCTTTAAGAGCCTAGAAACCCAAAATAGTTGTTAAAACAGTGAGAAACAGGATACATGAGCAATCTCTTATCAAACAAAAACCTGGCTCTGATTACTTTTTGTATTTGAGGCCGACATAAGTAGTTTGCTCTGTCTGAACACTTTAAATCAATTGCCAAATGAAAATGGGACTCTTGAACCTACGCCAGAAGTAGGTTTCTTAGCTCCTTGCCCAGTCTTGGCCAAAACCCTAGCACTACTCAACAGCGACTACAATCTACAAATCAACTTAAGATCTCTGTCCTTGCCAAAACTTCATGTCTGCAGAGCTGATGCTATAAATAATGGTGGGTGAACATCAGTAAAACTGAAACTAGATCCTCAACTATCCAATTCTTGGTTTGCATTTTTTAAAGTTTACGAGTTTGTTCACTTTACTTAATTATAAGATCAAATGAAAAAAATCTCACCTTGTGATGCCCAAATTCATTCAAAATGGTTCCCAGTTTCCTGGTGTTGCTGTGCAGTTTGGGGGCAGCAACAGCTGGATGGGGGTCCCGCCAGTCAATGGACAAGCGGTGATACCAAAGGCGCGGACTCTCCAGAATATGAGCTGATTTAACACTAGGATCAAAACGATGTACTTCACATCCATTGTTGGCCATGCTAACCTCAAATTGGGTATCATCATTCCCCAGCCTATAAAGAAAGAGCGTGGAAATCAATAACAACACAAATATAATGAAGCAAAAGTGCTAGATTGATAAAATGACAATTCTAAGGACAATTTTCTTATTCATATCAAGCTTTCTCCTGTTTTAACACATGGCTAACTGTACACATTCAATAAATCTGCTTCCATCACAAAAAGCATTATAGCTAAAAGCTTCTGGATAAAAAGCAAGCAGAGAAATTATCTGCTAAATGCAGACCAGAGAATCACATGTTCAAACATGTAGAGACATAGCAAATTAATTTTTTTAAGATGTAAACCATAGTAGCAATGAAACAAGTCTATCCAGTAATCTTAAGAGCTTTTCTCAGAATACATCAAAAATAGAAGCGCCAGGATCGGTTCCCTTAGGGAGAGGTGCAGTGTACTAATGAGGTAATTTGTCTCCATTCTAATGGCCATGATGCATGCAGCCTGACTTAAAGACAATATCCGTTGTCTTAGAAGTGGAAATGCATTTTAAAATAGTACAACTAAAGAAGAGGCAAATATGTGTGGTTCTACTGGATCTAGTACCCAAGAAGTAGAAGAGACACCTCACCTAAATTCACATCAACAGGAGGAAGAAATTATGAATTGTACTTAAGTATCCACTTTGTAGCACGTCATGTGAAACATTCATATACTTACACATTTTTAATTTACTCAGACATATTCCTTATTTGGTGGAGTAATATTCATCACTTTGATTAAAGCATCAGCTTGGATGAAAAACATGAGATTAAATGAAAGACGATTTTTTTTTAATGGTGCTTATGGCTTCTTTGCTCAAAATACTATAATTAGATATGGTTTAAGATACCAAAATCTCAAAGGGTATCTATAAGACATTGGCCAAACCTGAACCCAGGGCAGAAATGCTTCATTCTCTTAGACTCCAGTATCGCAGACATTTCGTACTTTGGACATGTACAAGCTCATTGGCTAACAATTATTTACCTGGTATTAGGCAATGAAAATAAGCCTTCAGTACAGAGATCCTCCCTCCACCTAGACATTCTTACTACTCTTATTTGCCTTGTTCTTTCCCTTCACTCCTACTACATTGCTTTTGCCCTCACTGGACGCATGGCATGTCAACCCTCTGCTATCCCTCAGCTACAATTCTGTCTCCCTTGTGGCTAGAAGATGTAGCACCCTTCAAAACTATATCACTCCTTTTACCTGAGAAATTCTGTTTCCTAATTTTCACCTCCTACTGAACCTACTCAACTCAGACGGCAGACTGACTGACTGACTGGCTCTAATTCTGTCCCCCTTCATCCACACTACTGCCATGCTGTGCTCATCATGAGCAGAGCATCCTTTCTTGCCCCTTGATTGTCTGGCTTGATTAGGTGATTTACTTTGTGGAAGGAAGTGACAGTATGCCAGTCCCAAGCCGAGGCTTTAAGTACTTCTGTCCACTCTCGTGGACATCCTCATACCATCCTCATGATGAAAACATACCCTAGATAACTTGCCAGGCTCAGGAAAATAAGAAACATGAGGGGCAGTGATACCCCAGCCAAGTTGCCAAATTTCTATGAAAAGGAGAACTTCCCTTAGCCACCACACCTTGAAATAAAGTCTCCCAGCTGAGCCCAGCCTCCGTCAATGGAAGCCCGCTGATTTGTAGACATACAAGCAAGAATAAATAATGGTTTTAAGCTACTGAATTTTAGAGTGATTTGTTACACAGCAACAGCTAACATATAAACCTGCCATGAAATATAAATCCAAGAGTTGAGCAAAAACTACAAAGCATTTTTTTAGTAGACAGATTTCCTTCTATATCTGTCAGAATGTTGCCACATTCACCTGCCCCAAGAGATTTTTCACTTAACTGAATATGTTGAAACTGAGATGAGGAAACCAGTGTTACTATGGGTCATCCGATGGAAAATGGCAATACTGTAGCTTTCCTAGGAGAACACTATGTCAACAAAGTACTCACTAAATACAATTTATATGTAAGCTTTCAAGAGTAGAGAAATTTGAATAATTTCTTTCTAAGTGAATTTTCAAAATATTAGTTTCAAGGAAACATTCTCTACTCTAAAACATGTATTTTAATTAAGACTTCAAAAACTTTTAGGGATTAAATTAACCACATACGGTTCTGTAACTAACTTTTTTAGTAAGGCACTTTATTACATATTGATGTTTTCAATTTAAACAAGAAATTTTGTAATGAAAAAATAACAAAGACACATAGGAAGAGTTCAAGGAAATAGATAAAATAAAAAGGAAGTTTTCTGCCCCTAGAAATTTTGGCCACTAATTTCCAGAGATAATCACAGTTAGTAATCTTTGTGTATCTTTCCAGAAATTCTCTAGATATGTACAAGTGTTCTTTATTACAGATATCATAAGTACACACATACATATTTAAGTTAATCATCAAATAGTGAAGAACTATTTTGTAGGCACTAAACAAAATGAAACTACTGAAATTTGTAATTTGGGGGTCAACTTATATTACTTTTAGTAAATAAAATACACTTAATACACAAGTGTACTATACTGGAAAGTAATAAGCTGCATTAATTTAATCAATGTCTATAATTCTTACTTCCATTTATTCAAAATGGTACTTCCTCAAGCTTAGTTTAAATTAGCCAAGTTTGTGGTACGTGTAAAAAGCGACAGGAAAGGCAAATGTAATATACATAGGTGTGGCGCCACCTGGCCCAAAGTAGGAAAACCAGGAGTCAAATCCAATCCAGGTAAATGTGCTCCTTATATTGCACCTCACTGTGAATGAGCACAGGACACAGAACCCTGGAAGGAATATTTGTGATCTCGGGGATCTACGAAATCGCCAGTTCCTGGAGGGTAAAGCTCCATAAGGAAGAGAACTGTGTCACTCTTGCTTTTATTTTTTTCGTTTCAAGTTTTTATTTCAATTCCAATTGGTTAACATACAGCATAACATTTTTGCTTCTCTCTGAATCCCAAGTGCTGAGTAAAGAGACAGCAAATCTATAAAATGCTGCCCCAAGTGAGAGAAAACTAGAAAATTATAGGGTCTGGAATTCCTAGAATACATAGTACACAGTAACTAGCATGGCATGGGGTAGGCTATGTTTCGCTGTCTTCTTCATGTATATAAACAAATACTGATAAAGCACTTTAATATGTTTAAGGCACTATACTAGACACCAGAGACAAATTAGTCATAACCCTTGATCTGAAGTTCACAAGTAGTAATGAAGAGAGATTTCTGAACAAATAAATATAGTAAAATTATGAAGTAACCAAAACAAAAATATTACTTACAGCAAAAATGTATTTAGTCTGTAAGGAAATCATTTGCTGCTCTTATTTATCTAGAAAGAGAATTCACTGTAGAAAATCCTACTTTACAGGAATGTTCTACTTATGTGTATTCCATGAAGCAAGACATGTAGATCAGAGGCTTCTATCTCATGATCTAAGACAGTTGTTCCATTCCCTGCCACCACGTCTGCCTTCAAGCCATCAGGAGAAGTAAAAGGGGAATGAAGGTCATGTCTTTTCCTCTTAGGGTATGGCTGAGAAGTTGCACACATCACATGTGCTCATATCTCATTGCTCAAAGCTAGTCATACGGCCACTTGCAGCTTCAAGGAAGGCTAGGGTATGCAGTCTTCAGCAAGGTGGCCAGGTGCCCTGCTAAACTCAGGAGTTCTGTTACCAAAGGAAAAAGGAAAGAATGGATATCGGAGGACAACTGGAAATTCCTGCTACAACCCATTTCTGAAATAGGTAAGCAGTTAATAGGTGTATTCAAATGTATAAGCATTCATGAAGACTATAACCTATCTCTACACGGGGGAGAGAGAAAATTATATAACTAATGCTTATGAGTATTATTCTGCACATGTTAAGCCTAGGGTTTGAGATGGAGACAAGCTCTTCAGCACAGAAAGGGCATCAAATCTGAGAGATTTGTTGAAGAAATAGGAACGGGGAGAATTATAGGACTAAATTTCCACAGGTCACAGAATAACAGTAACCATCTTGACCCCCCTCTTCTGATGCTCAGAGAGCAACAATCAAGATTCCTCAGTGTGGTTGTGTGAGTTGTGCACCCAACAATTCTAGATGGTACCATTCACATCATAGTCACCATAATGATGATTTTCTAGCAGGTGGGGTAGGGGTTCTTGAGGGGGTGCCTCTTCCCAAGTCATATAAAGGTGTCCTTTGGACCAGCTACAGTGCTAGCAACTGCATGCCCTTTAATGCTACTGAAGGGTAGAAGGCATGGATGTGGTACTGTTTCAGGTCTTGGTTATTCTTTTAAAAATATTCCCAAGAGTGTTAAGGTAAGCGTCCTTTATGTTCCCCAGGAATCAAAATGTCCTAGCGCAAACACATGAAGACATGCTCATGACCATTCACCAACATGGAGAAACAAATCAAAATCACAATGAGACACCTCTTCACATCCACTAGGGTAGCTACAATCAAAAAGACCAATAATTACAAATGTCGGCAACAATGTGGAGAAATGAGAACACTCATACATTGCTGGTGGGAATATGAAGTGGCATATTCCCAAAAGAAGCGAAAACTAATGTCTACCGAAAAACCTGCATGTGCATGTTCGTTGCACGATTATTCCCAGTAGCCAAAAAGTGGAAACAACCTAAATGTCTATCAACTGATGAGCAAATAAAATGAGGTGTAGCCATACAATGGAATATTATTCAGCCATAAAAAGATATGAGGTACTGATACCTATTACAACATGGATGAACCTTGAAACCATTATGCTAAGTGAAAAAAAGCCAGTTACAAAAGGCCACATGTTGTGTGCTTCCATTTACATGAAATGTCCACAATAGGCAAATTCATAGAGAGAAAGTAGACTAGTGGTTGCCTACGAGGAGGGGGTGAAAAGCAGGAAATGCTTCAGCTGAATTTGCAAACGACTGCTACTGGGTGTAGGGCTTTCTCTCTGGGGTCATGAAAATGTTCTAAATTTGACTGTAGCGACAAAAAAAACCCCACTGAATTGTATGCCTTACAAGAGTGAATTGTATGGTATGTGAATTATAGCTCAACAAAGCTGCTAAAAATAAATAAAAGCAGATACAGGAAAGGTTTCTAACTGTGACCGTTGAAGGCATCAGGGTTGGAAGAAGTAAGACAATCGTGTTTCCCAGGAGTTTCATGGTCTGTTCTGGGTTTTTCAAAGCATAAATGACACTAAATAGATTAAAAATATGTTATAAATTATTAATTTTTATTAAATAACATTGCGTGAAATGCCAAGATTTTGTCCAAAACATATATTATCAACAGGAATGATAGCACCCCTAATGGGGCAAAATTCCATTCTTGGGAGTCAACAATACCTCCTCTTTTTATATATAAAGCAACATGCAGGGGCGCCTGGGTGGCGCAGTCGGTTAAGCGTCCGACTTCAGCCAGGTCACGATCTCGCGGTCCGTGAGTTCGAGCCCCGCGTCAGGCTCTGGGCTGATGGCTCAGAGCCTGGAGCCTGTTTCCGATTCTGTGTCTCCCTCTCTCTCTGCCCCTCCCCCGTTCATGCTCTGTCTCTCTCTGTCCCAAAAATAAATAAACGTTGAAAAAAAAGTTAAAAAAAAAAAGCAACATGCATATGTTACATAAAAAGATATACAGTTTATCTCTGGCATTAAAATTTCATGGGGAGTGGTGATTAGGAAAAAAAATTATTTAAAAAGGATCCTTGGGTCCATGATTTTCTGATTCCTCATTCATGTATACTATGAGCACCTGCTGTGTTAAACTATTACAAGTTGAAAATGTTTGGCACCTGGAAGTCCCAGCTTTTCTGTGTAAGATACTAGTTGTTGCCTAACCATGTGTCATTTATCAAATGTTCTTCTGTCTTATGCTGAGAATTTATGTCTTGAAACCTAACGGTACCACCAGCCAGAGAACTAAAAAAAAGAGGTGAAGAAGATTTGCTACCAATGTATTGTCTCTTCTCAAGTTTTCTTTTCCACTCTCACTCCCACCTCTGAAAAAACAATCTTTGAAAGGGAGGATAAAATCGGGGATATTTCCCGATTCGTGTTAGCTACCACCCTCCCCAACCCTCCCCCTCCAAGTCACAGAGGAGAAGACTTACAGAGCAGCCACCACCGCAGGCTGAAGAGGTCAAGTACATGATATTATCACCTAAACACACAACCTCTCCTTCCTCTTCTCTTCCCCTTCCTCTGTAACATAACCTTCCTGTACAGCACCTTCCCCTATCTTAATTGGTCTATTCTACCCCATTTCAAGGTTGAAAAGGATCTGATTTTAATTTTCAACTGAACTTCACACAGAGTACACTCTCCTGGAAAAAATGCTTTTACATTAACTGTGGAATAAAGAGCTTTGACTTCTAGTAAAGACATTCCAGACTCTGAAATAAGGTGGAAGTGACTCCTGCTTCAGTTCCTGGGGTGGAGGAAAGGTAGGGAACAGATCAGAATGCAGGACATTCAGCCTTTGTCTTCTGGTCCGTCTGTCCTCCGACTCCTTTCTTCCTCTCTAGGAAAGACACCCCAAGCTATGGCTTTATCAATCATCTTTGGTTGACCTGGGAATGACTGGGCACAGAAGTGGCATAGTCTTGCTGCTGCCAAAGCCCTGGGGCTTCGAGCACTTACTGCCTGGTGTAGGGACCCCATGACCCATCTGCCACCTGCCCTCCCTGCCCATCTCTCAACTATCCCACTACTCCCGAACGCTGACCATCCATGACCCACATTCCCTGTTCTTGTGCCTCATTTTAGGACCGCCACTTCTGGGCTGGGTCTCTTTCTTCTCTATCAATTGAGATGTCAGCTGGCTATTTACCTGCCCCCAGGCAAGCAATTCACCTGAGAAGGGGGTATGCTTGTCCTGATCCTCAGTCCTGAATAACAGTGCAATCAATGTGTGCAACCACAATCCAAAACATCTTTTCTTTTTTTTTTTTTTTTTTTTTTTTACCCATCAGAAATATTTTTAGTTCCCCATTTTCAATTAAGCATTTCTAGGTTTTGAATCAAATGTTGGCCCTTATAATCTATTCACGTCTGTTCCCAGTGGAATTCAATTGTTCTTATCTGCTCTTCACAACGTTGAGTTTGAATAGTGAACATTTAGATGAAAATAAGAAACCACCTTTTTACAGGAAGTAATCTGAAATCTTGCAACAAAATTATCTAATGGCCCTGAAGTACAAGGAAAGCAAAAAGGAATTTTAAAAATCCCCCTCCCCCCAAACAGCTTTCCTAGTTTCATTTTACTCAGTGATAGGCTTTAAATGAAATTATTCCAGGGTGTAAAATAATAAGTAAACTATAAAGGCAGTTCAGAGCAAGAAAACAGGACCAAGCTGAGATCTCCAATTTGCATGTGGTACTCTGCAATTACTTTTATGACCTACTTTCATGCATTTTTAATATGACAGAAAATAAACTCTACTGTCAAAACTTCCCATCCTTTCTACAATCTGGAAGCATAGTTGGTGGGCTCCCCTCTGTTCTAATCAAGTGGCTGAGCAACTAATTTCCTAAGCCTCAGCCTCCCGGTCTAAATCACAGCATAAGCGACTTTCCCTGCTCTCCTTACCTAGAGCAATCATTTATGTAGCAAATATACATGGAGTGCCTACTGTGTCCCAAGCTCTGCTTATACAATTTCCATTATCCTGAGACTCTTACTTGAACCGTTCATTTTTATAAAAAGTCCACAGTGACTACAACTAAGAATTCTTGTTTGATAAAGTCTGATGTTGATGGTGATCCTCTGGGCACAGACCCAAACGTCTGCCCCCAACCCTTATCATCTAGGATTTGGGTTAGCAGTTGTCACTCATGTGCCTGAATGTGAATCGTCGAGATGATGAAAGCGATTAGTGAGAAACAGGCATAGGACACCTGTTAGGGTCCCCAGTGCTTTTGTAATGGACCTTGGGGACCTTGTCGGAGAACCTAATCACACAGCTTCCACAAAGAGTCTACGGAATAGGGTGTTCCCAATAAAAACAACTTTCCTGCCCCCCCTTTTTTTTGAGACACATTTTTATAAGTTCAGAACTGGATGCAAGTCCTAATATATTTCATGAAATAGTCTCATTATTTTATATCCGCCATTTTACAAAAATGCCTCTAAATCCATTTGTACACTTAGCTCATTTTCAGCCTGAATAACTGAATATTATTTCCTACAGTTTCGACAAAATCACAGTGATTTCACAAGAATTCCCTTTTCTTTCTTTTTAATGTAAATGTACACACAGATTTACCATTGGCACAAACCATAAAAATCCAACAGTGGCCATTCATCTTGGGTCACTCCTCATAAATGTGTAAAAAATTTCTAATATGCTTGCTGTTCTTCCCCCCCCCTTAATTCTTACTATTCTCTCTCTTCACAGTAAGGATGCTGTAATTCTAGCTGGCGACCACGGGCTTCGCCAAGAGGATCATCGTCATACTGAAATCTGAAGTTGCCAATTCACCCCCAGCAGAATGGGAGAGAAAATGGCCTGGCGGCTTCTGGTGACCCACAAGTGCCCACAGTTACCTAACCGACACATGAGTCTGAAACAAAGCGTAGGAGGCAAAGTATAGCACCTGTTACACATTGTTACGTTCATAACTTTGTGTTACTGAAATAGCCTTGGCCACCTGCAGGAGCATTTTGGTATTCTGCTATAAAATGCACTTACCCTAAAGAGTAGAGGCGGCATCGCTTGCTGCGGATTTGATGAGCTAAGCCAAACCTGTCATCAAGACAGACTGACCAAGGCTTCTTTGCAGGGCTGGAGTCAGTAGCTAGGCTGTCTGTGCTCATGTGATTGCATGCAATCTGTAAGGATTGGAAATCAATGTGAATCATTTAAAGCGCTGGATGATAAGTGGCAGGTGGGGAGTTACTGCTTTCTCAGTCCCTGAAAGCCATAACAGGAGAGTTATGTCCTTCTCCACTGCCAACTACTCCTCTCCCCCAGGGAAGCACAAGACTGCTATCAAATGTTCAGAGGAACTCCAAATACTGGATTATAAGGAACCTTGTGGAGACTATAGACAGGTTTGAAGGGAAGTCGAGAGCTGCTATAGCCATATGCACAGAGTATGTAAGGGAGAACAGGTCAGGAGCAAAGGTGGCAGAAAGGAGGGGTCCCAAAAAGCTTTGCAGAGATCTGTGAGTCCTGGAGAATGAACAGAAGTTGACCAAGACGCTGAGATCAAGAAGAGCATTCCAGAGGTAGAGAACAGTGCTGGCAAAACACAGAGGACTGTAATCCATGGTGTTTCTACCAGAAGTTGTGAGATCCAACTGTGGCCATGGGTCTCAGAGGGATACAGATTATCAATTCCTTATCTCAGGCATATAAGCTGGGGCCACCTCGGTCCAGAAAGGTAGCATGAGTTATCCAAGGTAAACAGCTGATCAAGGGTCAAGTGAAATTAATTCATAGTCCCTGCTCCCAAGACCGTATTGTTTGTGAGAAACTGTTCTAATGAGCTTCCTCCTAGGGGAGAAGAGCGAGAGCCCCACGCAGGAAGAAAGGAAGCTCTTCCTGAGCTATAACCAAAGCACTTCTTTTAACTCATCCATCAAAATTAGGTGAGGAAACCAAAGGGAACATGTATCTAAATCAAGCAGAAGCAAGTCTCTGATTTCAAATGCACATTTAGCAAATGCACTGTGATTGAGGCTGGCACAGTGTGCACGCTGAGGTGGCTGGAACCAAGGAAAGCAGGTTCTGTGGCCCAGGTGTTCTTTTGTGGCCAGCAGCACCTCAATGAACATCAATTTCCCCCTAATCCTTCAAAACTCCCATCACCATCACGATGCTCCATGAATCATGCAGCATCTCTGGCTGTCACATCACAGACAACAGACCATTCTGGGTGCAAAGGGTGGTCTGAGGTTCATTGCTTTAATTCATTGGAAAATATAACAGCAAATGATTTTCTTCTTAAGAAGATATTCTGGGGGCGCCTGGGTGGCTCGGTCGGTTGAGCGGCCGACTTCGGCTCAGGTCATGATCTCACGGTCCATGAGTTCGAGCCCCGTGTCGGGCTCTGTGCTGACCGCTCAGAGCCTGGAGCCTGTTTCAGATTCTGTGTCTCCCTCTCTCTCTGCTCCTCCCCCGTTCATGCTCTGTCTCTCTCTGTCTCAAAAATAAAATAAACGTTAAAAAAATTAAAAAAAAAAAAGAGAAGATATTCTGGGGGCACCTGGGTGGCTCAGTTAAGTGGCCGACTCTGGCTCAGGACATGATCTCGCAATTCAAGAGTTTGAGCCCCGCATCAGGCTCTGTGTGGAGCCTGCTTCCGATTCTGTGTCTCCCTCTGCCCCTCCCCCCACTTACACTGTCTCTCTCAAAAATAAATAAACATTAAAAAAAGTTTTTTTTTAAATAAAAATGTTTTAAAAGATATTCTGGGTTTGCCCAATTCTTTTATTTAACAGAGTTTCCAGAATTCTAATCTGAAAAGAGTATATACATGTAGCCTATTCAACTGATACAGCATCTCCCGTACTTTTGCTGTGATCAAGGGCTACTGGGCTGGCAAAATTATCCAGCACTATTTATCAGAGAGATAAATGAGAGAGCATATTGCTAGGATTTGGACATTTTAGAGGGAAGTCTAAAATGTGAAACCCTGTATATATATTCTTGCCCCTCACCAATGTCTTTCTACTTCTCTACCCATGACCCCTGTTTAAAGGAAAAAAATAACAGAAAATGGAACTGAATTTTAAGCAACTATTACAGAATACATTTATTAACTGGGTACATCAGCATGTTAATTTGTATAATTCATTTCCTATGATTCACCCACAAAGACATGGGAATTATGCCTCTGCCCATATCCTAGTCCCCACTCACCCACCAAGGGAGGGAAAACGGCTAATTTAATTAAAGTTCAATGTGTTTGGTGGGCCTGTCTTACTAGTGGGCAGGTTACTGCACCTTAAACATCAGCACCTTCATTGTCATTGTGTCCGACGCTCTCCCTTCCTCTCACCCCTGCAGGTAGGCAGGTAAGTAGGGAGGGAGGGAGGGAGGCAGTTCTGTAGGCCCCTAAAGCATACCTGGACCTCATAAGCCTGAACCATTTGCTCTAGGTCAGCTTCCTGGAGTATTTTTATTAAAGTGGTCTGATGATTCCCATTTCTTTGTGTGCACTTCTCCCTAAGAACCTCCATAATGACAGAACATGATATAGATGTTCACAGGTTCTTGTTCATGACTCCCTCCTAACACCATTAAAATTTAACTCTCGCCTCTCCCACCATGTTTCCCAAGGTATGGCCCACCTACATTCTGACAGGCCTGGGAGGCACCTAAAAATACAGATTCTCAAGTCCCACTCTGTAAAGTCAGAATCTTTGAGGCTGATGCCTGCGAACATGCCTTTTAATAAGCTGCCCCAGGTGATTCTTATGCGGATAGTCCTGTGAGTTTACAGGAACCCTTTTGTAAAGCCCCACTGGAAGGTTCCAGCTTGGCCTCATCTGTGCCTTAGCAAATTAAGGGAAGAGGCTCCACTTGGGTCAGAGCTTTATTTATTTATTTTTTTAATATGAAATTTATTGTCAAACTGGTTTCCATACAACACCCAGTGCTCATCCCAAAAGGTGCCCTCCTCAATACCCATCACCCACCCCCCACCCCCCATCAACCCTCAGTTTGTTCTCAGTTTTTAAGAGTCTCTTATGCTTGGGCCAGAGCTTTAAAATGAAAACAGCAGCCCCTGCAACCCGGCCCCTAACAAAAAGCCAGAGAGGCAGGCAGTGACAATTAGCCAGAGGCCTCCAAGAATCCGATAACTATTAAGGGTCAAGATTCAGGGCTTTGAAGCTCAACTGCCCTTACTTTGCCAACGTTGGGGAGTAGAGTTTTATTCTATTAAAGGTGACGCTTAAAGCATTTCTTCTTCTTCCAAAGATTTCATCTTACACAGATATACCCCTGTTGGAAAGACATTCTTTTCCATTCAATCTCTCTGCTAATGTTCCCCTTTCCACTCCTAGCTCAAACATACCTAACACAGGAGTTTTTCCATATTAACTATCTCAGTGATAGACATTAGCTTTGCAAAACAACTAGAAGCACTCAGTAAAATTCAGCTCCTAAAAATTAATTAAATATTGATTTTTCAAAGTTTCTTGTTAAGATTTATGGCCAGGGCTTCAATAAACTCTCGTAAGCAAAATAAGTGAGGGCAATAACTCCTAGCTAAGCTCTAACTCCAGTAATTACGTTCTCTCTCTCTCTAATTCCCCTTGTAATTTTAGCTGCAAAAGCAAATTAGGCCTAGATAAAGGAGAAGAAACTCCAGGAAAAAAAAAATGTTTTCTGAAATGCATTTTAGTTATTTAACTTAAAGGGATTAACCAATTTTTTTTAAAGATTTTATCTTTAGGTAATCTCTACAGACAACGCAGGGCTCGAACTCAGAGCCTCGAGATCAAGAGTCGCATACTCCACTTATGGCACCAGCCAGGTGCCGCTTAAAGGGATTGATTTATTCTCATTTCATTTGGCATCCCAAAAGATGGAATAGAATTTCTGGCACCCCATAAGTAAAATCTGGCAAAGAGAGCCCTTAAAACTTGGGGACTTCTGGCAAGAATCACTTCAACGATCAACTGTATGTTCATGTAATACCGTTATTTTGAAAGGCAACATCTAAGGAAAGAGTTGTATTTTTGTTGCCTTTATCCGTGTGTGTGTGTGTGTGTGTGTGTGTGTGTGTGTGTGTGTACCAGTAAATATAACAGATACTACTGTTACAAAGTCGTAAAGTCTGCATCTCCAGGGCTTGGATTTTTATGTTATTTTTACAAATAGATAGATGCATAGATGATGAGATAGATAGATGGATGGAGAGATGGCTGGCTGGCTGGCTAGATGATAGCTAGATAGGTAGTTAGATAATGTTTTAAAATCCACTTTTTCTTTTTTAAAACAGCAACTGTTGCTTAGATTAATTTTGTGCCGCAAGGCCTGCTTCCCAGAGGCATATGGTTTGGGGGTGGCCATAAAAAGCTGGATCTGGAGCCTTCCCTTAGAACAGAGCACTGTGTTTATGACTTAACCATTTCTTGTTAGCATCAAACAGTGTATCATCGACTCCAGAACTCAGCGATGTAATCGTGGTCTTTCACATTAGGAAACAATACCTAATTAAACTGCACTTGACGTTGTGCACACTCTACCAAACACCATATCCTCTGGTGTTTCATTAAAAATTCAGGTCCCCAATCATGCCATCAGGGACACACAGCGTGCAAGTGTGCCATCTCATTGCAGTCGAATGCCACACTGTCCCTGGCCCTGTGCTTCCGTTTCCAAGCTCCCCCACCCATCTGTTCACCCGTGTTAGAGAACACACAACTCTCTTGCATCCTAGCTGTTTGCCAGCACGCGTATGTATTGAATTTAGGTTTTATACCCCAGGCAGTGCCGACCACAGAACAGGTGCTCAGCAAATGCCTGCTGAATTGAAGAAGGAGTAAATCAATGATGAACACATCAAATGCTGGGCCTTGCTGTACAAGCTTGAACACAGATTTGAAGGAGATGGTTTTTTTTTAAGTAGCATAAGAGAATGGGGGTGGAATTTGCTTTAGTACCTTCCGAAGGTTTTTTCCCCCCTTGCCATTATGACTCACTACTGCTAACTATGGAAATTTTAGGTAATAGTGACTCTAATATTCTTCCAGTTTTGTAGGCTTTCATTGTCAAGATGAATTCTAAGGGAAGCCTGAGCTCCTAAAAGAGCCAAAAAAAAAAAAAAAAAAAAAAAAAAAAAAAAAAAAAAGACAAAAAGACAAAAAAACAAAAAAAAACCTCTGCATTACATAAAGATGGGGTAGGAACACTGTTTAGCAAAAGATTCTGATCAAGAGTCAGTTAATGGCATCTCTGATGAGCTCCCATGTGCTGGCTTCCTGGTGACCTGGATGTGCAGAAAAGCACAGCACTTCACCTGGGTAAAATGACTCCTGGGTACAAAACCACTGTGAGGTCTAGAGCTTTATCTCAGTTTTTCTGGAGGATGAAAATCCTTCTAGTGAACTTCATAAACCAACTGCACTCATCAAGGTGAATAAGATGTCTATGTATCTACTTTCCCAACTAGTTGGTTAGCTGCTTGTGGGCAGAGACTGTATCCCCAGGGCCTGCCACAATCCCTGGCACGAAGCAGGTGCTCAAAACTACTTTGTCAATATTGATCCTACACTACTCTCGGCGCAGTACAAGCTCACAGAACTGGGAGAAACCTAAGGAAGAATTTAATAGCTTGATCCTTTTCAAGATCGCAACATTGAGAAACAGAGAAACAAAATAAATCGCTCAGAGTCACTTCAGACTGCATTGTGGGATGCTTTTCTTTTCTCTTCAAAAGTTTTCTCCTCTCAGTTCATAACTCACGGGGGGAAAATCCAAGAGGGGCTTGAAATAATCCTTTTGTGCCTCATGAGCTTCTTCTAAGTAAATATGCTTTTCATAAGTTACAGAACATTAACCTGAAATACATATAAAATGGAATCTAGAGGCTTTTACTTGGTCAATTTATTTGGGGCAGGGATGGAGCCCATAGTTCTCAAACCCAACTCATAAGTTTAACACCTTCTCATTTTCCTCTGGTGTCTTAAGAGTTTCTTAAAGTCACAGTCAAGAGGTCGGGCTTTTCATCCTTCATGTAAAACCAAACTGTACAATTAAAATTTCAGCACCTTAATTAAATCTGTGAGTGTCCACCAAATTAATTTGCAGCAGCAAAACAAGATGAAATTATGTAAAGCACAGGGATCAATTTATCATTCCATAACTTGCGATTAATTCAACAAGCTTTCACTTCCATGTCTAGGTGACAACCATTAAAGTCCAATTGTCTGACTGCATTATATGAGAAATGGGACTTTCTTTTACGCCCAGTCTTCTAAAACATATTCTAGAAACATATTCTCTCCACAGATGAAAAACGGGCTCTGCTGCCAGCAAGGTTTGGGAGAAGAAGTGGGATGCCAGGGGGCTGAAGGGACATCGAAAGAGCCTGAGACCCTCAGTGCCACACGAGCTCCACGGGCTACCTCCCCAGTTGGCCTAGGCGCCTTAGAGGCAGTGTGAGTTTCTAATTTACTAACACCTCCCACTTAATCCAGGGCAAAGTTTCCCTCAGGCCTTGATCTTCTCTTATGTCTCTCCGTCCCCAGGATCAGGCTACTTGAGGACAGAACCTCCTGATTGACGTGTCAAGAGCCATAGACTCTCCTTAATAAACAGTCCCTTTACTTGCCGGGGGCACAGGCTCAGCCTCGGTAGGAGCTGCCACAATGTGTTAAGTCACCACTAAGGCCGATGCTCCATAATGACTTTAAATGCTCTAAGAACAAAGTACTGTTGGATTCATTAGCTTCTCGGACCTCCTGCAATGTCCCCTCTGCTCCCTGGCCTAGCGGGGCCCTGTCCACCAAGCGTCTGTGGCAGAAAAGCAAAAAGGCAGATTCCTCCAAATCCAAAATGGAACTTGAACCTCCAGATGATGGTTTTGTTTTATGACACACTTGACTGCCTACTCACGGGTGTGAATCTGTCGCCTCAAATGGTTTTCCAAAGCAATTTGCTAAAGTGGATCTTTAAGAACACGTCAGGATGAATCATTAAAACATTTCAAGATGACAATACCCCTGGAAGGCAGAAGATGCTGAAGCAAATAGAAGGCATCTTATCTGCCTTCAAACAAGTGGATAAATGTAAGCATGGAGGCCTCAAAAACTATGTCCCTATCAAGTCCCCACCAGGAGTCCCTGAGAATCTTCCTACCCCCTCACTGATCGAATCCTTTTTGAAAGGGGGTTGATCAATATCTTTTAGAGTGTCTCCAGATCCAATTGCACCTGAAATACAACCTGAGTGGTGCTGATGTATCTCAGAAACCTCAAGGCTTCCTCGTCCAGGGACTGAGCAGGTCCTGCCCACGGCTGGAGATCTATATGCCACCGGGGATGCTGTAGAAGACAGAAAAGAGAAAACAGGTTGATGTGTAAAGTGTTGAGGCACTGGGGGTGGGGGTGGGGGTGGGATGGACACAGAGCATCAGCTAGGCTCCTTGGCTGCTTTAACTGTCTGCAAAACAAACATGTCTGTGCACAGGCGGTGGGGAGTGGGTTCAGAGCTGCTGTCATTACAGTCACATCGGTCACAGGGAGGCAAGCAAGGCCTGAGAAAGCCCAGCTACCAGGTTAAGCAAAAGACTGCAAAGGCCTGGGGACGTCTGACTCTTCTGATCAAAAATAAACTCCACTTGACCCCATCAGGCTCTCTCAACTGTGGCTTTGTATTACTGTGCCTCTCCCCCATGCGAAGAAAAACTCCTCTATCTACTAGAGTTTCCAAAGCTTAGAGCTTCAGAACTATGAGCCTCCCTAAGGGCCAGTTATGTCGTCGAGGCAAAAGCCTGAAGTCCTTTGGGTGCTTGGGTGCCTTCCCCAGCACAGGGAGACAAGGGCAGCCGCACTCAGTCTTCCAGGTCTCAGTGTGCCTAGCATCTGGGGCTGTGCACCTGCGGGAGAGGACCCCGGAGCTGTCACCACCAAGGCTGACAAGAGTAGCCTTCTAGCAAGGGGCTGCTGCCTTTCTGCAGAGGACGTGAGGAGCACCGATGAGCACAGTGGTTAGAAATGAAGGCTAGGCCTCCTTTTGCAGCAAGGGTGGTGGGAGGGATGAAGGGCTGGGGGATCGCAGTGGTCTGGAAGAAACGCAAGTAGGATCTCTCTAGTCAAAAGGAAGCACTAGTCATGAAGTCCTTTCTAGAGTTCCAAGTCCCCCACCTGTACTTATCACCACTTAGAAACCTTCCAAAGCCTTGCTGTGATTCTCAGGGGGAGAATAGCGCTCAGGGTGCAGGGTGGGGAAGGGGGTGGGGGGGGAGAGAAGCCCCATCTGCTGGGAGGGTAGATGTCTGGAGTCAGGAAAGACGCTGGGTGTCTAGGCACAGGGGTTCCCGCAGTGCTTAGACTGGGCCTTTAAACCCCCTTTTATGATGCGGAAGGAGGCAAGGGAAGGTTCTAGGGACAGATAAATGCACCATTCACGCATACACATTGTTCTTCACTCAGATATTGCCAGGATCTGAATGTGTGTGTTCCCCTCCCCCATATTCATAGGTCGAAATCCTAATGACCAAGGTGATGGTATTAGGAGGTGGGGCCTTTGGGAACAGCTTAGGTCATGAGGGTAGGGCCCTCCTGAATGCAATCAGTACTCTTCTAAAAAAGACCTCACAGAATTCCCTAGCCCCTTCCACAATGTGAAGACCTGGAGAGAAGGCGCCAACCCTGAAGAGGGCCTTTACTGGAAACCAACTCTGCTGGCACCCTGACCCTGGACTTCCAGCCTCCAGAACTGTGAGCAATAAACTTCTGTTCTTTATAAGCCACTCAGTCTGTGCCATTTTGCTATGACAGCCCAAACAGACTAAGACTAGGTATTATGACAGGAACTGTCTGTCACCCACCCCCCCCAAAAAAAAAACCCTAAACAGGCTAGCCCTGATACACTTTAGTGCAAATGTGGGGGGTTTGCCCCTGGATGGGGTGGCCTCGGTGACCTGGGGTTGAAAAGCTAGGAGGAGTGGGGGAGCAAGCAGGTCAGTCAGCATCAAGCCAGGTGTGTGAGCTTGGGGAAGAGAAGCCCACCCTGGCATGGGGGTCTGAGATAAATGTGGACACTTCGTAAGTGATAAGCGTTATTCCAGGTCCGATGTGATTAGCCTCACATCGTGGCACAAAGCCCAAGAGCCCACAGTCTTACCGTCTAGACAGGTCCGTGCCTCCTTGTAGTAGCTAAGTGCCCTGCAGCTTTCTAGACTTAAGGAATCCTCACTGATTTCCCACAGGCTATCTTGTTCTCAGCTGCCAGTTTCATGGGCATGCAACCTATGCAGTCTTAGAAGGGCCTGCGCTTGGGGGCGCCTGGCTGGCTCAATCGGTGGAGCGTGTGACTCTTAATCTTGCGGTTGTGGGTTCAAGCCCCATGCTGGGTGTAGAGATTACTTAAAGATAAAATCTTAATTATTTTTTTTTTTAAGAAGGGCCTATGCTTGGCTCAATGCTCTGCTGACACTGTCTTGAAATTCTTTAATAAATGTTGAACAAGAGGGCTCACATTTTCATTTTGCACCAAGCCCCACAAATTATGTAGCGAGTCTGCCCTGAGGGGCACCCTTTTCTGGGAACGCAGCCTTTTCTTATAGCTGTTCTTGCTCTGTGAAGGCTGATCAGGCAGAGAGTCTAATCAGAGAAAGCCTGAGAACATTAACATATCTTCCCAGGTAATGCCTTCCGCCACCCCCCTACTTTCCTTTCTTCTCTGAAGTAGATGGTGATTACCACGTGGTCAAACAATATTCATTGAGCATCAGCCACCCTGTGCCAGACACTGGTCAACACAGACACGAATAAAACCTTGACTCTCCCGGGGCGCCTGGGTGGCTCAGTCGGTTGAGTGTCCGACTTTGGCTCAGGTCACGATCTCGCGGTCCGTGAGTTCCAGCCCCGCGTCGGGCTCTGTGCTGACAGCTCAGAGCCTGGAGCCTGTTTCAGATTCTGTGTCTCCCTCTCTCTCTGCCCCTCCCCCGTTCATGCTCTGTCTCTCTCTGTCTCAAAGATAAATAAACGTTAAAAAAAAAAAATTAAAAAAAAAAAAACCTTGACTCTCCCAAGAAGTGCACAGTCTGGCGGCAGAGACAGACACATACAAAATAACTTTGGCGGGTAAATGCTGAAAATTAGGGAGAGCAATTCTTTTCAGGAAGTACTGAATTATGAAATCATAAATTATAAGCACAGTTAAGTACAAACGCCTCCCAGTTGTGCCTGGTCATGTCCTTGCATCAAATGACAAAGTGCCTTTCCAGGTCGCCCCTGCTGTCTGCACAGCAACACAGAGCTTCAGGCAGGCTTGTCCAGGTTTAAAACTCCCCATGTCTTTCTCACACGGCCACTCACAAGTGTGCCAGCATCTGGCCCAGGAGCCTTTTGATAGAAATGATAAAGTTCACCCATCATGGTCTTCCTCTAAATCAGGGATCAGGAAACTCTTTCTATAAGGGGCCAAACAGCAAATATTTTAGGCTTTGCAGGCCATATGTTTTCCACTGCAATTCCCCGCCCCCTGCTGTAGCTCAAAACAGCCACAGACAGTGAGTAAACCAATGGTCGTGGCTGTGTTCCAACGAAACTCCATTTACAAAAATAGGTTGCAGGCTAGATTTGGCCCACAAGGCTGTAGTTTGCTGACCCCTGCTATATTTGATTAGAATTTGGAGGCAGACTGGCCTAGAAGAGACTGTTTACTTGAAATAATGCAAGATTATGATATCTAGATTATAGCTAACTTTGTCATCTGGGTGACTTGGGCAAATATCAGCCAGGATTCCAGCAGGATACAATAGGCTCCTTCCAACTGGCTAATCCAAGAAGAATTCAATAGACTATCTATAAAGGCATGGGCAGGGTTTAAGGAAACCAGTAACGAATAATGCAGTATCTATGACAGGTAGCACCAGAGAGACTTTACAAATCCTAAGCCTGAAGGAGCAAGGAGCAAGAGGAATTTATGGAACCCAGAGAGGGAAACTTTATGGAGCAGGCATTTAATAAAGGAACAAAGCCAATCCAGGGTGCCTGGGTGGCTCAGTCAGTTAAGGGTCTGATTCAGCTCAGGTCATGATCTTGTGGTCTGTGGGTTCGAGCCCCGCATCGGGCTCTGTGCTGACAGCTTGGAGCCTGGAGCCTGCTTCAGATTCTGTGTCTCCCTCTCTCTCTGCCCCTCCCTTGCTCACGCTCTGTCTCTCTCTCAAAAATAAATAAACATTAAAAATTTTTTTTTTCAAAAAGGAACATAGCCAATCCTGTCACATCCAGTCCTATTATATATGCACACCAACTGTCAAAGCCAAGAGAAGGCAGAGAAGAGGGAGGCTATGGTTGTCCATGCAAAGTCAGCCTCTGGGGGTGCAGAGGAGGAGGAGAAGAGTGGATGGTGGATCTGGAGAGACAAATAGAAGGTCTCCTGCACAGCATTCTTTGGAAAGAAGCAATGAGACTCGACCAGGGAGTCATCCATTGATTCAGTGGGCATTTGTGCCTTGTGCCAGGCTCTGGGTTACAATTTAATACAGCTATAACCCAATAAACGCAATGAAGTTCTATAGGGGCTCTGATGGAAATTTCCATAGGGTAAGTGGGGTCACGAAGAGATCGAGGACGTAAACATAGCTCCAAACTAAATGCTAAAAACACAAGTGCAGATTGCGGAAGTCTGTCTCTACTGCAAGAAACCCAAAGGCTTCATGAAAGAGACACCTTGAAACACAGCAGAAGCCACTCACCCTTCACTAACACATAAAAATAACTTCACAGATCAATAATGGTGAATCCATATAACAGGACTATAGAATTATCTTCAGAATCCACAGACGAGATCCTGACTGCAAGCTCATATTTCTCATTTCCAACTGATCGTCGACCCCGATGAAGCTAAACATGGCAGCTGGAACAGCGACTATCCATTGAGGAATCTCAAGTGGAGACATGATAGGAATATACAGCAAAGAGATGCCCCAGAAATGCTCTGGCTTAATGCTTTGCTCGAGCTGTTTAAAAAACACTTCACATAAAGTAATGTTCCTCCTGGAATCAGTCTGACAGCAGTTCGTGATTATTACCCCAAGGAAATGACTAGCTTTTATCATCTCTTTCAATTATCATTTGTCTTAATTCTCTGGTACATACATCAATATTTGTCCCTCCAAACATCCCACACGCAGGACTCTCTGAGCACCTTAGAACACCAATGGCCGGTATTAAATAGAACAAGGCAAACACACCCACCCACCAAATCTTTTTGTTTTAAGAAAATTTGTCATGATTTTACCCCCAAACCATTCCCTAAATGCCAGGATACACTATTACCCATATGCTGCAAATATCATGTGGCCAGAACG